AAAGAGAGAGAAAGAAGCAGAGAAAGAGAGATTAACCGCGCGCTGAGTCAGCCATTAGCTTGACGGGACGCGTAGAACGCGGCGATCTCGTTCCCCGCGGGACACAGAACGACGCATTAGCGTTCTCCGCACGCTTTCGAATCTCCCGCTAAGCCGTCTAATTCTCGGCTGGTTGCTCCTCAACGAGGAATCAATCTCGCTTTACAATTCCATCGCGAATCTCGCCCGATGTCTCTCCTCCGTTTACGAGCCTGTTTACAGCCGATAAATTAGAGGAGGCGACAGCTCGGGATTTCGATGATTTAGTTTACATAAGACGCGCGTTACGAGACGAATTTTATCTCACCTTTTTCTCCCTTACACGCTCCTCGGAATATTCCGTCAAAAACGGTTGCATAAAATGGACGCAATTAACGCGTTGTAAATGCGACAATTTTTATAGCCACTTCTAGTTATTTATCGTCGTCCTTGCAACCTGTTAATTAAGATCTCGCGAGTGGAATATCATAGCGAAATTTTGCTACGTGTCGAAGCTTTACGAGATCGCGCGATTTCACCGCGGATTCGTTTGCTTCGCGGGCCGCCGCGTCGATCTAATTCACGCGTCGCGCGTAATTACTCTAACGAGAAGTCTTCGAGACTCTATGATTAAAAGTAGGTAGTTATTTCTCTCGATGGACGCAGTTTCTCCGCCAACTTTCGCAAGATCCCTCTCCACTTTTGATTATTCCATTCTACAGCGCTGCTTCTTATCGCAATTTCTTTCGGTCACCGTGTACGCGTGGTACCTTTTTTGATATATTACTATTCCGAAGGTTTTTACGTTCGCCGTTATTACCGAGCCACCGTGAAATTCGGTTTTTAACGGAGAACAGGTTCTTCCTCTCTTCCAAAGTTGCTATTGCATAATTGCATATTTCTATCTATATTAGGTCATCCCATGTAGTCTTTGAATTTCGTTGAAAATAAACCTGTAACTTTTTCTTATTCTCTTTTTGTGCTAAGAACATTATGTCATCGCTACAGAATTTCCTTAGATTTTTATTCAAATATTTTTACGAGATGACCTAATACTTCCTACTCGATCGATTATAATACGAAACGTACCGTTACACCGGCTAATTATTCCCTTCAAATTCAACACCAGGTCTCTCCCGCATTCTTCCTCAACGAAGTGGCTGTGATTGAAATAACATTCACCAGGGTGTGTTCTTGTTAACAACAAATCAGTTTATTGCACCATAGATTATATACAACTCTCTACGCTTTACGTCTACATTGATTAACCGTGACTCGCGGTCGGACGAGATTGCTCGTGATCGATGGACAGATCGTAATTTCGCCTCGTCGCATGCCTCGTTTTCAAGTGCAGCTACGACTAACGCGATCGATCGACCGTGTGACGTAAGAACCTGGCATGCGTGCACATGCTTTGGAAATCGACGATCGCGTTTTACTATCCTGTATTAACAATCGGCGAAACAGCGTTTAAGGAGAGCCAACAGATATTTACAAAGTGAATTTCACGCGTCTTTTTTAACGGTACACGAAGTGCTTCGAGCATGATTGACGTTTGCTCTCTCTCTCTCTCTCTCTCTTGTTTGCTGTTTGTTTTGCTCCTATACAGGAGAGATCGAGCCGAGACCGCAATTTCGTAGGTACACGGTGTATGTTTTAGCGTGAACCGTGTTTCTTAATCGATCGCGCTACGTGACTTTCGGTATATCGAGGCCCGTGAACGTTTCAGCACAGAGGAACCTTCGAAGAGAAATCTTTGGAAGAATAATTTTCAGGTAATCGACTGAAATTTCAGTGTGATTCCAAGATACATCGATACTAGACACAGAAATATATTAACGATATATTAGTACGACAATCTTCTTTATACAAATACTGCTGTGGGTGCTGTTAGAAACAGATTCTAGCACTTCTGATGCACCATGAGAATATCTAAGGGGTGTACGATACAAAAAGGGTCTCGAATTGCCAAAATCATCCCTTTTCGTAGGTTTGTACTACTTCTCCGTCACTCACGTTGCTGCAACACTCCGAATCTTCCTCCACCGTTTGGTTCGTTGTTAATAATAAAAGTACCTGTAGTAACCTGCAACAGAAAGTTGAAAATTCACGTGATATCTCTGGGGTCTGATCGATCATATCTGCCAAACTGCACTCTCGATTAATTTTCAAAAATGTCTCTGTGACGAGGGGAGATTGTGACACATCCCCGGTCGAATTTAATTGAAACCCTCTCGGCTATACCCTTTAATTGAACTCGAAAACCGAATCTTCAATATTTCACCCCAACACCGTGAAATTTCCTGCCTAAAGGGTGGGCAAAGTTCCCTCCAACATCTCCACCAGGACACACCGCAGACCAACAAAGCAGAGCCCCCGTTTCGGTAAAACCACTTGCAAACGTATCTCCAAACAAAAGTTCCTTCATTTCCCGTGCTCTCTGTCGAACTGCAAACCCCTTCGACGATTATTCGATCCGGTAATATCCGTGGTATAGAGAAGGCGGTCTTTAAGAACGCTGTTAGAAATGAAAATCTGAGAGGTGAAATCGCGTTTATTTTAATCTTCGGTACACCTGACCGTTGGTAATGAGAAGTCAGGAACGGGACCACTTCAAAAGCTGTTAATTACAGGACCCTCGTCACCCAACCACCCTTCGTCAGGCCATCTATGCGAGCCGTGGCCTCCCTTTGACTGGTAAGTGCTCGCTTTTCTGGCCGCTGCCTCCAACACTGGCTCGACCACCGCGCTGACAATAAAGTTAAGCGGCGCGCGAGGGGCAGAAGGCAGCGGGATCCATTAGGCGGTCGAAGGGGCTGCTAGCGTAAATTTAGGCCCCCTTCTCACTCGAATCGTCGGCGAAGAGTGCTTATGGCGTAGAAGGGTTGTTCTACGCTGGTGTTGTCTTTTTTTCCGGTTCGAATCGTTCGATTTGAAGAAGTCACTGGTGAGAGGAGTTGTGAAATTTTCTGGGCACGCGGGTTGAGCAGGTTTTTGGCAGGATTTTCTACGTGTAGGACTCGTGAAAAATTTGCGAAAGAGAGAATCTTGAATGATAGACGAAAAAATTAGGTTAGAATGTTATTTAATTTTCAGGATACAGGGTAGATTTTTCGCGGGACTTTCTATGCATAAACTCGTGAAAATTTTGAGAAAGAGAGAATCTTGAAGGATAGACGGAGAAATCTGGTTAAGGACTTACTTAATTTTCTGTGCCGGGATAGA